TGATACTACCCCGTAGAACATTCGTTAGCATTACCCACTGAAGTTGAAGAAGCACAGACCTTATGGCCGAGAAATACCATTCTCAGCGTGTGTGGACCTAACAAAAATGCAGGTACACGCATGTGCACCAAGTGCCTTATGTGAAAATGTTTGTATAGGCATTATTCATTATGGCCAAAATGTGAGGACAACTTAAGTGTCCGTTAAGAGTAGAACGTGTAAGCAAGTTACAGCACATTTATTGTACAATAGAATACTGTACAGCCACAAAAATGTGCTAAGTATAGCTGCATGGATGAATCTGCAAGCATAAAGCTGTAAAACAGGAAATAAATGTATACACAGCATCCTTCCACTTATATAATAATTTCAAAACAATACACTAAATTACAGTAATTGAAGTCAAGATCGTGGAGAGGGAAGGTGACACAAGAGACTGTCTGAGAATATTGTTTGGGTTCTTAACCCGAATACCAATTACTTTCTAATTCATTGAACTATGTCTTGTGTACTTTTCTGTATGTTATCCTTCACGGTAAAAAGGTTATGTAGCATAAAAAGGCCAAGGGTTTAGCATGATCCATAATACCAATTTTAAAAGATGTATTTGACTCAAATCAAGGACCTGAGGCTATTAGAAAATGCAGACCCAAGAGTAAGCATGAGGCAGAGAAATAAAAAAATCTAGGGAGATGAATTTATTTTAATAATAGGTGTGCTTTGGCAGCTCTTGAGATGATGCTGGGCCAAGCAGCCTTGGATAAGCATGTTTAAAAAGAAGCAAAACTTTACATCTCAAATTATTTGTTCCATTCTGAGGTGTATTCAAAGCCACAGACCAGATATGGCATATCTTCCTACCACACTGATTTTTTATAAAGATTTGGAGAAATAATACATTTTATATTAAAACCAGATATATCATGGAATAAATAAAGCATATTTTTTTCTTGAAAATTTATTTATTGAAGTATAGTTGACACACAATAAATAAAGCATATTGTAAAGGAATTCTGTGCTCCCAACAGGCTGCTTCCAGGTATTTCTTCAAAGCCCTGCTTTTTGGGTTTCTGGCTCCTATACCTTTAAAGATTCTTTAATTGAAATTGTTAGGTACAACATGATAAAGTATCTGAAATATAATGCTCGAACCTACAGTAGAACTGAACACAATGAGCTCTGATTCCAGTGTTTACTGCTGGTAGTGTGGGTGTAAGGAGCCAGGCGGTGGGGGTAAAGAAAGAAAAAGGGGTAGGGGACGGTAGGGAGAATTAAAATGATGAAGGGGCCAGGAAATAGAATGAGTATGTATAGCACAGAATGGTGTTTTCTCCCTTTGTTTTTTTCACTCCACGGGATGAAGGAAAGAAGAAGAAGGTGTTATCTTATGGCTCTCGTGAGAAGATTATATCTTGTGTCCTACCATTTCACATTCCTGACTTAACCGCTAAAAGGCACTGGGGCAATGTTGGGCAGCGGACACAGAGGCTGTGGGGTAACTGATTCTGAGGTTCAAAAAGGAGAAATTACTGGATTTGTTCTTTCTCTCTAGCTCTTCTGCCACCCCCTATGTCTACTCCATGATCAGCATTATCATTGCTAGCACTTATATAGTGCCAAGCCCTGTTCCCATCTGGAAACCTGTTACACAGAGGTTAAGCAATTGCTTAAGGACACATAGCTATTAAGTGTCTTGTTCCTGATTTTAGGAGGAAAGCAGTTTTTCCTGAAGTATGATGTTAGCTCTACATATTTATTGCTGTCCTTTACCAGGTTAAGTTCCTTTACCTTCCTAGTTGGCTGCCAGTTTTTATCAGGACTAGACATTGGATTTTAGCAAGTGGTTTTTCTGCATGTATTGAGATGATCATATGGTTTTTCTTTTTCAGTCTGTTAATATGGTGAATTACATTAAATTTTTAATGTTATGCTAAGCCATCACTAGGTCATGATGTATTAGCCTTTTAATATATTGTTGGATTTCATCTGTTAACATTTTATTAAGTTTTGCATCTATGCTCCTGAGTGATAGGCATCTGTAGTTTTCTTGTACTTCTCTGCCCCTTCTCTGCAAACTGCATGAATTTGTCCTTCAGCTCACTGATGTTTTGAGGTATTTTTGCGCAGCCTTTTTTTTCCTCTCTGTTTCATATTGGATCCTTTCTGTTGATAAGTCTTCAAATATACTAATCTTTTGTTCTGTAATGTTAAGTCAGCTATTAATCTCATCCAGTGTATTTTTCATCTCAAATATTGTATTTTTTCATCTTCAGAAATGGATTTGGGTCTTTTTAAATATCTTCCATGTCTCCATATAGTATGCTCAATCTTTACTTACCTTTTTGAAAATATGGAGTATAGTTATAACAATTATTTCGATGTTCTTGTCTACTAGTTCTAGGATCCATGTCATTTCTAGGGTCTATTTCTTTTGATTAGTTTCTCTCCTCATAATGAGTCATATTTTCTTCTTTGCATGGCTGTTAACTTTTTATTGGATGCTAAACACTGTGAATTTTACTTTAGGGTGCTGGATGTTTTTGTATTCATATATATATTCTTGAGCTTTGTTTTGGGATACAGTTAACTTACTTGGAAACAGTTTGATCTGTTAGAGGCTTGCTTTTTGGCTTTCTTAAGCAGGACCAGAACAGCCTTATCTAACTGTTCCATAAAATTAAATTCATCTAGAGTGTAACTTTATTCCATGTGTTACTTTTATTGGCCTTCTCTTGGCATTAGATTCATTCATGTGTTTTGAAATTTTGGTTTGCAACCTAAATTTTAGTAGAAGTTTTCTTCCCTACCCTTTGTCATCATCCTTGCTGTTTAACCATTTTACAATTGTCTCCAACCCAGTTCCTAAATGCTCCCTGGTCAAGGACCAGGTCTTACAATGACAGTTCTGTTCCATATTGATATTGGCCTAACCCAGTTCCTGGATTCAAATTATGAACCTCGCTCTGGCTCTTGTTTTGAATGGACCACCTATAAGGTCCTTTTACTATGGGAAGGCTTACTTGCCACTGCCTGCTGCCAGACTCAGGACCCATCAAACCATGGCATCAGCCTTACTCATTATTTTATATTTCTTTCCCTTTTCAGAACCATAAAGATTTGTCTTTGAACCTGCTATGTCTCTTTTTTTTTTTACAATGTTTTATTATTAAACTTTTCAAACATACAGAAAACTTGAAAAGATTATACAGTGAACATATATATGCCCATCACTTAGGTTCTACAATCAGTATTTTGCTATAGAGTCTTTATTACATATTTGTCCATCTTACTTTTTTTTTTAAAGATTTTATTTATTTATTTGAGAGAGAAAATGAGATAGAGAGAACAGGGGTGGGGGGATGGGGGATCCGAGGGAGAAGCAGACTCACTGCTGAGCAGGGAGCCTGATGCGGGACTTGATCCCAAGACTCCAGGATCATGACCTGAGCCGAAGGCAGTCCCTTAACCAACTGAGCCACCCAGGTGCTCCTTGTCCATCTTATTTCTTGATCACTTCAAAGAAAGTCGTTACTCTTCCCATAGACACTAAAGTATTACATGTTATTAACTGGAGCTCAACATTTGGGTTTTTTTGTTTTGTTTTGTTTTTTGGGGGGGAGGGAGAGGAAAAGGGGGGCGGGGCAGAGGGAGAGGGAAAGAGAGAGAGCCTGATGCGGAGCTCGATCTCACAACCCTGAGATCATGACTTGAGCCGAAACCAAGAGTCGGATGCTTAACCGACTGAGCCACCGAGGTGTCCCTCAACATTTGTTTTTGTTTATAGTTCCTTTTTTTTCTTTTGAAGTAATATTTACACACAATGAAATATACAGGTCTTCAGTGTTATCAAACACATCATCTATACTCAGACCTCTTCTCAAGATTTACAATATTACCATCACCAGAGAAAGTTTTCTCATGCTCTTTCCTGGTGAGTCCATTCCCCTCCACCCCACAGAAGCAACCATTGCCCTGTTTTTTTATTTCTACTATGGATTAGTTTTGCCTGCTTTCGAATTTTATATTACAGAATCATATAGTGTGTACTCCTTTGTGTAAGACTTCTTTTGCTCAACATGTTGTTTTTGAGATTTATCCATGTGGCTGTAGCAATAATTTATTCCTTTTCATTGCTGAATACTACTATTCCTTTGTTTCAACACACCACAGTTTGCTCATTTCAGTGGGGTCTTTTTTGATTTCTCTCTTTATTTTTTATCCATCACTACTAAGTGTCTGGAGAGAAGAGAGTGCATCAGAGTATGAATGCCATCTTAACCTAAAGTCCCCTGGTTTAACTAATGTGTATTCATTTTAAGTTACTTTTTTTAAATTGAGTGAACTTAGCTGCTTTCTAATTTGATAAGGAATTGAGTTTGGTCTCTTTCATTTTCCTTCTAATCTGTTCAATGTGCATTTTCACAGTTTTACATGAAATTTAAAAGTAGAAAATATGTTATATAAATGAAGTGCTGTATTTGGTGTTTAAAAGTTATCCTGTTCCAGCACTGGGTGTATCATGGAACACTACATCAAAAACTAATGATGTAATGTATGGTGACTAACATAATAAAATAAAATTAATTAAAAAAAAAGTTCTCTTGTTCCATAAATAATATCAAATAGTCTACATATTAAATATGAATTTGTTTTTTATATCAATTAAAAAATTGAATAATTCTCATATTTTTGCTGTTATATTAAGTACAATTTCTGTAATGACCACAGTACTTTGTTATCAGCAATAATATTAACAATAGAACTCTTTATTTTCAGGAGTATGTCAGTTCAGCCAGCTGAACAATATATTGCAATTATATGGGGCCTCTAATCTCTCAACTCTAGATTAATTCCGTAATATAATGTAAACTGAATAAATTGATCTCTTGTTGTGGTGCTTATGTTAAAAGGAATAACTAATGAAGCACAACATACTTCACATAAACAAAGTTTCAACATTTGCTAGAATTATGTATTATTTTATTTTTCTTTTTCTTCAGGTTTGGTTGGGATGTTCCAGTAATTTTGAGAAATTCAGAAGAGACCCAGTTCAACACAAGAGTTTTCAAAAAGCAAATGAGACAAGTCAAGAATCCTTTTGGTTTAGAGATCACTAATCCATCTTCAGCTTCAATTACAAGTTGGTGGCTATTTTCCAAAGATCTTTTTCTTTCTGTGCCCCTTTCTTAGCATTGTTCTTTCTATATGCTGTCTCTTCATTAGAATTACCAAGTATTTATTGAGCACCTATTTTATTCTGGGAGCTGTACTATGTAGTACTTTGTATTACAGATATAAAGACTAATAATTCGCCAAACTTGCTCCTCAGGAATTTCTCAACTAACAAACAGAGGCATTCATGTGAGAAGAATAAAGTATCTTAACTGTTAATAAGAGAAGTTTGTTAGGACACTGCCATTTTCATGGGTCTTAAGTGCAGTGAGAAATGTATGGGTCGTATAGCATAAACAGTTACTGGAAGGTTGCCAACCTTCTCAAGAACAAGTGTTTTTAATCTGAAATTATGGTATTTTGGGTATAAGTTATTTTGGTATAAGATGTTATATTGGGAGATGGTAATAATAGATAATAGTTGTTTGTTTTTGCACTTACTTGGAAAAATAAATTGTCTGCAAGACTATCTAGAAACCACTGGAGTGAAAGAGAGGGAGGGAGGAAAGAAGGAAGGGAAGAAAGAAAGAGAAAGAAAGAAATGGTTTAAGTTTGCTGAGGTGGGGAGGCATATTCAGGAAAAGCTTCATTGAAGAATGTGCTGGGTCTATCTTATTTCTTTCTTTCTTTCTTTATTTATATTTGAGTAGAGTCTTGAAAGGTAAGTAGGTGTTTATCTCATGGGGTTGGGAGATATTCTAGGTGGAGGGAGAAGCATGAACAAAGCACTGATATAGAAACAGAATAATGCAGTAGAGAAACAATAGTGGTTTGTTGTGGATAAAACACAGGGTGGGACAGGTAAGAGAGAAGAGTGGGGGAAGGTTCTTTGCAGGGGCTCTCCACAGACAGATCCTCTTACCAGGATAAAGAATACAGGAGGAGCAGCAGGTTTTGGAAGAAAGGTAATGACTTCAGTTTTGAACTTCTGGATTTTGGAGTGGGCAGTTCTAGGTACGGCTCCATGCCTCTACAAAGATTTCTGGGCTGAGACCCTATCACCTTTTACATGTGCTCAAATTTCTGGGATCTTAAAAACAATCCCAAACTTTCTCAACTTTTTATCTTATTGTAACTACTGCCCTCTTTCTCTTCCCTTCACAGCCAGGCTTCTCAAAAGCAGGTTGCATTGCCTTCTTCCCTTAGCCAGCTCTACTTTCACTCCTCAGATCAGTACAGTCTGATTTTTGCCTATCTCCCTCTACTGAAATGGTTTTCCCCCAGGTCACTGATCATCACTTCTGCCCCCACCCTGACCCCCAGCAGTGTGCACACGTTGTAGGCCTGAGTTAACACTATCTCTGCAGAGTTTAACAGAGTTGACCAATCCTTCCTTCTTGATACCATGCTCCCTAGGCTTCTGTGACCCTTCTTGTACAGTCATCTTCCTGTCTCTAACTTCCAGAATCACAAGTCAAAAATCAGTGTACTGGGGCACCTGGGTGGCCCAGTGGGTTAAATGTCCAACTCTGGATTTCGGCTCAGGTCATGATCTCAGGGTTGTGAGATCGAGCCCTTGAGTCAGGTTCTGTGCTCAGCATGGAGTCTGCTAGAGGTTCTTTCTCTCTTTCCCTCTGCCCCTCCTCCTGCTGACGTGTGCTCTATAAATAAATAAATAAATAAATAAATAAATAAATAAATAAAATCTTTAAAAAAAAATCAATGTACTTAGTCAATAGGGATTATCAACCTTAAGTAAATACTAATTCATAATGAAGAAGTACAAAGTTTCTTATTCTTCCTTAGCTGTAAATGCTATACTATCACCCTATGAATTGAAGAGAACTAAGGACCTCTTTTTTTTCCCCTCTAATGGTAGATAAGGGTTTCATTCTGACATTTTTCACTTGGGAAGTCCAAATTTCAAGATATGAAAGAGAAAATTAACCTGTTTAGAAAACATGCCTAATTAAAATGTACAGAACAGTGGTAGTTTAGTGACCTCTGACCTCTGTGGTCAGGTCTTGGACCTTCTGCCATGTCACATTGGGGTCTTGAGTAGGACTGCCAATACAAAGAGCTGCCAGTACAAAGGTGTCCTTCCTGCTACATAGTTCCACAAGCCGGGAAATGCTGAAAAACTGAAAAATTGTGAGCAAACACAGGATACTTGTGAGCTAGAAAGTGTGAGGAAATCCACCAGTCTTCCTTTCGGGCAGAAATAGTATCAAAAATTGCCCCCCTTGCATCCCTATAAATGTTCGAAGCAAATGAAAAGATATCCAGTAAGTAGAAGACCTCTCAGCTGCCAAGCAACAGTAGCATTACCAAAGTACACAAAAAGATTTTTAAATGTGTGGATTTATAGCATGCTTATTGAAGTATTTTAATTTTTAAAATACAAGTGCTGGGGCGCCTGGGTGGCTCAGTCAGTTAGGCATCTACCTTCAGCTCAGATCATGATCTCAGGGTCCTGGGGTCAAGCCCCAAGTTGGGCTCCCTGCTCAGTGGGGAGTCTGCTTTTCCCTCTTCCTCTGCCCTCCCCCCCATACTTCCTCTCTCTCTCTCTCTCTCAAATAAATAAAATCTTTAAAAAAATAAAATAAATACCAGTGCCTATCATTCATTATCTTCTTTGGGTAAATAAGGAGAAGGATTTTGGTGGGAATTATATTTGGCAGAATAAAATTCATTTGTTTAAACTGTGGAACAGTGGATATCATTAAAGATGTCTAACCAGGACATTTAAATAATATTCTAAGTACTAATTGTGACATTTTTTTTTTAAGATTTTATTTATTTATTCATGAGAGACAGAGAGAGAGAGAGAGAGGCAGAGGGAGAAGCAGGCTCCCAAGGAGCAGAGAGCCCGATGCGGGACTCGATCCCAGGACGCTGGGATCATGACCTGAGCCGAAGGCAGACGCTTAACCATCTGAGCCACCCAGGCGCCCTAATTGTGACATTTTAAAAAGTTATTTCCTTTGATGTGTAGATAGTTTAAAAATCCAGGTCTTGGGCGCCTGGGTGGCTCAGTTGGTTAAGCGACTGCCTTTGGCTCAGGTCATGATCCTGGAGTCCCTGGATCGAGTACCGCATCAGGCTCCCTGCTTGGCAGGGAGTCTGCTTCTCCCTCTGACCCTAACCCCTCTCATGCTCTCTCTCTCATTCTCTCTCTCTCAAATAAATAAATAAAATCTTAAAAAAAATAAAAATAAAAATCCAGGTCTTTTTTCACCACTGTACCCAAGGTGCCTGGCATGTAGGGAGGGAAGGGAAATATCTAAAGACCTGATTTACTCGAAAATGAGCAAGAGAATCAGTTTTAATCTTAGTAATTTAGTTCTTTTTACTATGGGTGGCTTGTTGGGATTTCTTTTGTTGTTATGTGGTGATACCAGATTTGGATTTATGATATTTCCATGTCCCCAGTGTAAAAGGCTCTAATGAATTGAAAGGAGGTACTCAGGATGTGCTAGTTGAGTTTAATTCAACTGGTTCAGAAATTCTCCTGTCCCTTTGTAACAGCTTCCTTATATTTTGGCTTATTCACCCTGGTGAGACAGCTTCCTTATATTTTGGCTTATTCACCCTGGTGAGACCTAACAAAGGTAAAAGCGTTAGACAAAATGACACACATAGCATTTTCGGAGGAATTTGTGAACCTCTATTCTCTACAATGTAAAATTTTCATCTCCCAGTATTCTAGATTTATTAATCTCATGCATGATCACCTTGTACATTAGTTCTTCTTTCTCAGGGACTCTCCTCAAGAAAGTTTGTGGCTTTTCCAGCCCCATTGTTTCTCCTTTTTTTAATGGCTCAACTCATTGACTGTAATCCTTATTTTTTGCAATTTTTTGCAAGGCTGTCTCTTATGGGGGGCTTCATTTGGCTGTTACAGCAAGGCACATAAGGGCAGGTTGAGGGAAATCACCCCCATGCTGCTTCAGTTAACTTCGATTCTGGCTTTTCTAGTTTAAGGCTGTGTTCCAAGTCTGCTATTGCTCTCGATCTGAGATGGCATTGTGTTTGCATTGAATTTTAGAAGACTAAGAAAATGTAAGAATGAGAACTGTCTGCAGAAGAAGTAGGAAAAACAAAAGGGAGAACAATTTTTCCTGGGGGATTTGAACTGTCATCAGTTAGTGTAAATCAACACATTCTCTTCTCAGTCTATGTCATGGACAAGTGTAGGAGAGATTATGGAGAGTAGAATTTATTGATTGTATTCTCCCTTCTCATTAACTTATAATATTAATTTCAGAGACATACTCTGTTGAAGTCTGATTAATATCCAGTTATCAGTAGTCTTTGACACGCTCCCCACTTCAGTCACGTATATGCAGTCTGTAAACAGACCTTTTATGCAGCTCTGAATCTCTGGAACTCTGATGCTTTTTACAAAGCAAATAAACTGGGTAGTTTTACATGTTTTAGGGCTTATCCTTCCATGGTTCTTTTTTAGTGTAAACAAACACGTAGATATGGATATCCTCTCCTGTGAAATAAACAGGACTATGCTGTATACTTGCCTCCATCTTGCCTTTTTCATTTGTATATATTCTGAAGATCATTCCAAAGTAGTATATGCTGATATTTTGCCATGCCTCAGTTCTTTTTTAAGAGCTCCGTAATACTTCATTATAGAATACTCCACATTTCATTCATTTAATCTCCTATTGTTGGACATTTGGGTAGATTCCAGCATTTTGATATAACTAGAGCTCCATACATAACATCTTTTCACATTTACACATTTCTGCCAAGAATATTAAGAAATCATTTTCTGGGTTCCTTTTTTTCTTTTTCCACTTTCTTTTATATGCCTTTTCTATTTCTTCCTTTTGTATCTACGTCAGCTTTTTTCCTTACCTCATGTTGTATGGTTCATAGAGAAAAGGACATATGATTTTTAATATATATATTAACCTTAAATATATAAACATTGTTATGTAATATAATATAAATAGTATATATGAACATGACATATTGATATGTTTTAATATATAATGTATAAATTAATATAACAATTGTATATTAAATATATATAAATATATATTTAAATTTGTATTGATGGAGTGGTTTTCTTTGGCTATTTAATAGCTAACTGAAAAATAGTAGCTAATTAAATTTCCCATTCTTGAATAATACCTGATGATTGGAATCATATAAAACTTTGAAATCAAATTCTGTTCCAATTACCTATGCAATGTTCCTGCCGATTAAAAGTTTTGCTGAACTATGATTGGAAATTATCCTATGTTGCTGCTACTATGCATACTCCAAATCTGAAACTCTATGCACATACTACTAATTATGGGGAAGAAAAGTAAGAAACTGAATTTTTGGTATCCTGTAGAGCATCTGCTTGTGTTTGTGTATATCCTTCCAACACATGCTCTTGATCACCTTTTTATTTTATTTTTGTAAAGGGATGATTTATATATTTTTTAAAAGATTTATTTATTTATTTTACAGAGAGAGAGAGTGAGTGCGGTGGGCAGTGGCAGAGGGAGAGGGAGAGAGGGAATCTTAAGCAGACTCCCCGCTGAGTGCAGAGCCTGATTCAGGGCTCCATCCCACAACCCTGAGAGCATGACCTGAGCTGAAATCAAGAGTCAGACACCCAACTGATTGAGTCACCCAGCCACCCCATTGATCACCTTTTTAAAACTACATAATGTATCCATCAGAATTCCTATTAGCAAGTAACAGAAATGACTCCAGTCAAAGGGTACTGGGTAACTTACAGAATTGCCAATAGGTTTGGAGACCCAGAATCAGAGACCAAGGCTGTTCAGCCAGGAACAATGCCCCAGACCATGTACTTTTGGTCTTGCAAGTCCACCACTGCCACTGAGCACCAGAGGCTACAGTTTCCACTGCCAGCAGTATAAGACCCTAGATATTGCTGCCCTTGAACTTAAAATTGCTACAACTGCTATGAGCAAGGGGAAAAATCGTATGGATGCTAGTAGTATGTCCAATGTGAGTGTTTAATAAATAGATAAAACAATATAATTTGTATGTCCACTTAATCAGGTTTACTCAAATTATAATATGTTTTATTATGCTGAAAGCAAATAAATGAATGAGGGCATTGCTATTAAGCCCTTCATGTTTTGGAATCCCTGCTCTTTCCTTGGGATGTTTTGCATATTATGTGGGACATTAACTGTGTGACAAGAGTATATATTAATGTTGTCAATGTGTATATTAATATTAGTTAGCCTTGATTTCTTTTTCATATTTTTTCTACTCCAGTGATCATCTTTGGACCCCATTAGTTATGTGTATCCACTTTCAGAGACAGTCCTGCTCTGTTTCTTACAGTTACAAGGTTGCGTATATCCACTTTTGGAGACAGCTCTACTATTTCTTGTAGTTAGGATTATATATGCTATTAGAGCAGTAGGTTATCGATAGTGAACTATATTTCAGTTTTTAAACTCTATGTGGGAGAAGTCTCTAAATCACACACAAAAAACTAACTTGATAATTTCCAAGTGTAAATGTATAAATAAGAGTTTACTGATAGTGCTTCAAAATTGTGTAGATGTTGAGGTTTTTCTATCACTTGTTTAGGGACCAGTTCCTTCATTTACAGGCACGTGCCCTTTAACAGCCATCAGCTGGGCCAGCCTCCAAAAGGAAGCTTTTGTTACTCAGTGTGTGTAATTGCATGAGAAATTACATTAGGTAATTTGCTTCTCTTTGTCTTCTTTTCTTCTTTGTTTTCTACAGCTGGCATAACTTTGACAACAGATTGCCTTGAAGATAGCCTCCTGACATGCTACTGGGGGTGCAGTGTTCAAAAATTATATGAAGCTCTGCAGAAGCACTTTTATTGCTTCCGAATAAGCACTCCCCAAGCCCTGGAAGATGCTCTGTATAGTGAATACCTCTATCAAGAACAGTATTTGTATCCTTTTATCTGATATATCCATTAACCAAGAAAATTTTAGACTTTAGACTTTTTTATGGATAAAATAAAGTATTTGCTCAGTTATTATTGATCACCTTTGGTGTATTACTGTATTTTGGGTTATAGTGGCAATTTACCTTTACATTTTCAAAAAGTATTAAAAAGGACAGCAAAGAAGAAATATATTGCCAGTTACCAAGAGATACTAAAATTGAAGACTTTGGTACAGTGCCCAGATCTCGCTATCCATTGGTAGCACTGTTGACCCTAGCTGATGAGGATGACCGAGACATTTATGATATTGTAAGTAACTTTAAAATTCTGGAAGCATTCCTTTAAGTGATTTGGATGATGGGTCATAATTATTTGGTGAATAGGAAAAGTTTTATTTTAATTTCTGAGGATCTACATTTGGCCCAGACACATTTTTCTTGAAGAAGGAGTACCTGGGAAGTACACCTGTATGATGATCATACATGTAACAGCTCCTTCAGAGCGTGACTTTTTTTCATATGAGTTACAAGAATATATTATTTAGAAAACAAAAGGTATATTATAGTTGAATTAAGTTAATTTTATCATTCTGTATTCTGTCATATTTGCTAGATAGAAAATGTCTTGGGAAGCATGTTTATTCTTAGCGTTTTTAACACTGAGTGAATAAGCATTGTAATCATCTGAAGTGCTCCACTTTAAGACCATATTCCCTCTTTTCTTTACATGCTTGCAAATCACCTTGTTTCCATCATAGCCCCTGCCGCACCTACATCTTCTCTGTATTTGATCCCTGTATTTTCAGTAATTGTAGTGATCTTTTCTCATTATGTGCTCATTATTTTGTTAGTCTGGTAGTTTGTTCCCATTAGTAAGATAAAAGCATCTTAGGGATCTAAGAGGACCTGAGCCCTGATGTACCTCTGAGTATGGTAGAAGCATATACATGAAATAAACTTTTGGTGAAACTGTTTCATGGTAAGAATGCCCTCATGCCCAATTTACTACTTTTCTGAAGTGCATGATATCGATATGTTTATTATTAATGATATGGTAACATTTTTACGATACTTTGTAATATATACAGTACATTGGCTAACATTAACTTGTTTATTCCTTCCAACAACCTTGTGTGTTAGGGCAAATACTCTCCTTATAAAGACTGAAATGGGAGTCTAAAGAAAACTCCCAGTCATTCAGGAAGAGATGGAACCAGTAAGCCTCTGTACTCTGTGCCAGTACCTTAAAAAAAAATTTTTTTAAAGGGATATCTCCTCGAAACAAGTGTACATTTTCATGCATTTGGAAAGTGCAGACCCTTATTGAGAAATCTAGACCCTGCTCATACAGTTTGAGGTTTTAATCTTACCAAATTGAAGTTCCATTGAACTGAAGTCAATTTGTTTTTTTCCAAATAAGTCATACTAAAAACAGTATGCTTCCAGCACCTAACACAGTGCTTAGAACACTATAGGTGCTCAATAAACATGATAAGTGAAAAACAAAACAGAACAAAAAAACAACCACCCAAAGTCATACCAAGCAATGTTACTGACTGAGCCTCATAGAACTTGACAGCAGGTCAGTTCCTTGTGCATGAGAAGCGCATATGAGAGATCTGGTTTCCTCCCCCTACTCCCCTCTTCCCCCTCACCCTGTTCAGTTGAAGATAAATAAGAACTGTTAGGTTGGTGTTTCATATTTCCAGCCTCCGTTCTTTACCCCGCCTGCCCCAGCAAGGTAACCCTTCTGTCACCACCGTGTCACCCGTGTCTTCCAAGCTCCCTTCCTTCCTTCCTCTCATTCAAAACAGAAAGGGTCAAATCTGTCTCCTTCCTCCCAGCCTCACCTTTTGGCTTCTTTCCCCCTCACTAATGGTGATCTCTATCTATTTAAGGAACTCAGAGTATTCTTTGTTTTCTAACTTTCTTCCTCAGTCTGAACAGAGGTGTGTGTTAAAATATATATAACATAAAATTTACTGTTTTAACCACTTTCCAGTGTATAAGTCAATGGCATCATAAACAGGGAAAGATTTGCTCTCAGCCCCCAGATCCAACTGGAACGAAGACTATATGGCCCAGCTGTACTTGTGGGAGATGCATTCCCACGGGGGAGCTGGGGTGGCTGGCCCTCAGGGGTTTAATAGGCATTTTCTCTTTTCCTTTTAACGTCTCCTTCTCTGGGTCTTTTCTTCTCATCAGCAGTCTCCCTCTCTTTTTTCCTGTTAATCTTGCTTCTCCATCTCTTATCACTCAGATTTGGGCTCATATTGGAACTAAAGCATATTTGTTAGCATAGTTTGTATTAATGTTCCCTGTTCTTAATTTTAAAAAGCAAACTGAGCATTTGGTTTTTCAATATTTTATCTGGGGGTCAGAGTCTAAATCTAAAGAAAAAAAAATTAAACTCTACGATTCCTGTTCTAACAGTAAAAATTACACTTTTTTTTTTTTTAAGATTTTATTTATTTGAGAGAGAGAATGAGAGAGAGCATGAGAGGGAAGAGGGTCAGAGGGAGAGGCAGACTCCCTGCTGAGCAGGGAGCCCGATGCGGGACTTGATCCCGGGACTCCAGGATCATGACCTGAGCCGAAGGCAGTCGCTTAACCAACTGAGCCACCCAGGCGCCCCTAAAAATTACACTTTGATAGTGTAGTCAGTTTGTCATTTTAGGTAGAAGCAGGGATTGTTAATTGCAGTATTTTGACTTCGACATTTTTTTTTCATTTTTATTCAATTATATTTTCTCTATTACTCAAATAATACATGTTTGTGGCAGGAAATAGAATTAGAAAATCTAGATAAGCCAAAAGGAAAAAAGTATAATCGTCTATATTCTGTCTCCCAAAGTTAACCACTGTGAATATTTGTATCTTTGCAGACCTTTATATATGTAATTTTTAAACAAAAACAGGTTTAAATTATATGTACTATTTTGTGACCTGTTTTCATTTAGTATATTTTGAGCATCTTTTCCATATCAAATATATATGTACAGCTACATGTATATTTAAAACTAGCATGATAGTAGCTTCCAAAGCTTTTAATATTAAATCGAATGGCAGGATTTTCGTGTGAGGTGATAATATTACTGTCTTATACCAGTCCTGTCATTTGGGTTCAGTATTACAAGTTCTGAAGCCGTTGCCAAATTATTAAATCTTTATAAAGCTGTAAAGAATATTATATGTTTACAACCATAGTAGGATTCTTTCTTTAAACTTTTCATTTGGACATAATTTTAGAAACTTGCAAAAATAGAAAACCAAAAGAACACCCCTCCACCTTTTTCCTGGATCTCCTATTGTTATTTGCTGACATTTGCACCATTGGCACTATTTTTTGCCCATATATGTGTGCGTATGTATTTTTTTAATGAATCAAGTATAAATTGTATGCATGATTCTTTACCCCTAAATACCATAGTGTGTATTTCCTAATAATAGGAATGTTCTCTGATATAAACACAATATAGTCATCAACTTTATAAATCTAACATTGATAACATATTTTATCCAATCTATGACCTATATTCCAGTATGTCAGTGGATTTAGCAGTCTTCTTTACAGCATGTTTCCCTCGCCCCAGTACAGGTTCTAGTCTAGAGTCAGATAGTCTGTTTGTCATGTATCTTTAGCCTCCTTTAATCTAGAACATTTTCACAGCCTGGGTTTGTCTTTTACGATATTAGCATTTTTGAAGAATACAGTCACATACACCCTTTTTGTAAAATAGGACACTTCCCATTTTGTTTGTCCTATGTTTCTTCATGATCAGATTGGACTTGTGCATTTTCAGCCAGTCTACTGCACAGGTGATGACATGTGCTTTTCAGGGCTTTTTACCTTTGGAGGCACGTGCGGTTCTTTCCCCTTATTGGTGATGTTAATTTTGATCTCTCAGCAAGGTGGTATCTCATTTCTCCTCTGTTCTGTTTTTTCCCCTCCCTTGCAAATAATAAGCAATTGGGGGGGCACTTTTAAGACCACGCAAAATCCCAGTCTTTATGAAAATTTGCCCCCCTGGATTTAATATCCATTGATAATTCTTAACAGATTTTATCTTTACCATGATGGTTGCAAAATGATTATTTTCCAATTCCAGCCCTTCAGCCAGTCTTCAGGATTCTACTATAAACAATAGACCTCCCATTTATTTCTTTGTTTATTTATTATCCATATGGCCTCACAAATTCCATTTTTCCCCCAGTGATTTATAATTCATTACTGAATTTAATTATTTTGGTGCTCCACTGCCCTCTCCTTATTTTCTGCCCCAGAGTTTATAGTCAAATTCTGTGTCCATAAATTACTTGGATTAGTTCTCCTAAGTCAAAAAAATGCATGAAGAGGAAGTATACTCAGATGTTGCTCACATCTCCTCCCACAATGCCTTTTTTTTTTTTTTTTTTTTTTTTTTTTTACGGTTTTACTTTTAAGTAATCTCCACACCCAACATGAAGGTAAGACTCACAACCCTGAGATCAAGAGTTATATGCTCCACCCCGGCCAGGTGCTTCCCCTTCTTATACACCCCAATTCTTGTAGATAACCAAGTTTATTGTTTTCTGGTTTATCCTTCCAACATCTTATTGTAATGATGAGAAGATACAGATGTATATATTTCTTATTTTCTCTTCTTTCTTACTCAAAAGGTATCACACTATATATACTATGCATTTTCTTGTTTTTTTCACTTCATAATATCTCTGGAAATCACTCCAGATCAGTTCATAGAGCTCTTCCTCACATTGTTTTTCAATGACTGTGTAGCATTCAATGGTATATAGAATGTATAGGTACCATAGTTATTTAGTCAGTCTCCTGTGGCTGGACATTGAGGTAATTTCCAGTATTCTGCAGTAACAAATAATTTTGCACTGAATAACCTATGCATATGTATTTTCATATTGGCGAAGTTGTATGATTGCAGGGTAAAGGTATGTCATTTTGATACCTATTATCAAATTCCCCTCCATTGGGGTTATATCCTTGGAGTTATAACTTTTTTTCTTTTTTATACATTTCCCCCAGCAATATATGAAAGTGACTATTTCTCCATAGATTATATTGATAAATGTTTGAAATCTATTAATCCACTACTGCGAAGTGATATCTCAATGAAGTTTTAATTTGTGTTTATTATCTTGTGAGTGAAACGAACATCTTTTAATATGGCTAAGGACCATGTTTATAATTTTGTGTGAATTGTCTGTTCATATCTTTGGCCCACTTTCTAATAGGATTTTTGGTTACTTTTTTTCAGTATTTAAAAGTTTTTCATAAATTAGGGATATTGTGAATATTTTATTCCAGTTCATCACATGTCTTTTGACTTTGCCTATGGGGCTTTTTGTCATACAAGCTTTAAATTTTTATACGGTCAAATGCATCTGCCTCTGGGTTTGAGTCATAGTTAGAAAGTCTTTCCCTATGCTGAGAGTAAAAGGAATTCACATGTTTTCTTCTAGTGCTTGCATGGTTTTATTTTTTATAATTAAGTTTCTTATGCTTTTGGAGCTTATTCTTACGTATGGTTTGAGGAATGCATCTGATTTTATATTTTTCCAAATAGCTATCCAGTTGTCCCAATACTTTTTATTAAAAAGACTGCCCAGTGATTTCAGATGGTACCTTTGTTATATTTGTATAGATAGTTGGGTCTGCTTCTGGACTGTTTGTTCTGTTCTAGCCACCTGTCTGTTCATGTGCCTGTACTATTTTAATTTTAGAGGCTTTGTACTATGTCTTAATATCTGACTGGGCTTGATCCTCCCCACAGCTTTTTTCCAGTATTTTCCTAGCTATTCTTATGTGTTATTTTTCCACATGAGAATTTTAGAGTCAACTCATATAACTCTATGAAAAAACTCATTGGTATTTTTGTTGGGATCGCATTAAATTTGTAACTTTGCATATAATTAAAAATAACTCTGGCAAAAAATATGTTCTGTAACTGGTTCCTCTTTAGTGACTATGATTTAAATCAATTATTGTAAGTTTTCTGATTTATCAACCTTTTATTTTTCTTTTATTTCACATACCTGTGAAATAATGTAAGGAGGTTAATTACTGACTGGTATTCAATTTTTATTTTAGATTTCCATGGTGTCAGTAATTCATATTCCTGATAAGACTTATAAACTTTCCTGTAGAATATTGTATCAATATTTACTCCTGGCTCAAGGTCAATTTCATGATCTTAAGGTAAGTACCCTGTTGTCTTATCTCTGATCCTTTTATTTGCAGAGTTTCAAAGAATGACCATCTATAAAGAGATAATATTTTTCAGTTCGTTATCGCAGAAGTTAGCTATTATTTGCTATTGGGTTTGTTCGCTGACAAATTTTTAGCAGCTTTTATGACTCCCAGATTTAAAGAGTAATTGTTGGGGCGCCTGGGTGGCTTAGTCGGTTGGGCGTCTGACTCTTAATTTCAGCTCAGGTCATGATCTTGGGGTCGTGGGATTGGACCTGCATCAGGCTCCACACTCAGCACAGAGTCTGCTTCCCTCTCCCTCTCTCTTCCTCTCCCTGTCTCTCAAATAAATAAATAAAATCTTTAAAAAAAAAAGAATAATTGTCATTTGTGATTATCCTTAACCTTTTCTCTTTGATTTTCAGCAACTTTTCATGTCTGCAAATAATAATTCCACTCCCTCCAGCAATTCTTCTCCAGAAGAACAAAGCAGAGAGCACAGTCTGCTGGAAAAAGCTGGGCTGTCCGAGAGTGAAGTGGAGCCTCCGGAGGAGAACAGCAAGGACTGTGTGGTTTGCCAGAACGGAACTGTGAACTGGGTGCTCCTGCCGTGTCGACACGCATGCTTGTGTGACGGCTGTGTTCGGTATTTCCAGCAGTGCCCCATGTGCAGGCAGTTTGTTCAGGAATCTTTTACCCTTTGCAGTCAAAAGGAGCAAGAGAAAGACAAACTGAGAGCTCTTTGAGAGTGTTGTTATGACTGAAGAGTATGCTTTCCACTGAAGATGTAGAAATTTGTATCCTTGGAATTAATCATAACATGGAATCTACCGTGTTGACCATCGATGAAAATTCTATTTTAACTTCACGTTTGTATGGTACATGGATGATGCAAATGAATTCCTTCCTGTTTGGTATGATAAATATTGGAATACCATCTATGTTAATACATAAAAATGCATTCAACTCTTGAGAAGAATGTAAATGTTGGCCTTTTATCAGCTAGAGGATTTCATATGATGTTGATTAGGAAAATTCTGAAAAGCAACCCATCTAAAATCTCAGGTGGTGAAAGTCAAGATCTCTGGATGTTTTTGCCTTTGACATCATCTGGAGAGCAATTGGGAAAAAACTGAATTCTTCCTAAAGTAATTGTATGTTCCCCAGTTTACAAAGGAGTTGGAAAGTGCTTCTAACTCTAGATCTTTTCCTAAAATAACAGTTTTTATAAATATCCATCTAATTTTCCTTATAGTCCCATAAACACAAGTCTTAATTTTAATATAGTGTCTTAAATCGTAAATGCAAGATACAATTCTTGTCTGTTCTCAGTGTATCATGGGTTAAAATGATACTCATCTATAGGAAGCAGATATATAAAACTTGGATAATAAAATTTCTTAGATAATTAAAATTATTGTCAAATATGACTAGGTTAGCAGGATGTGACCTATCAGGGAAGAACTGTGAAACTTGTAATGCCTTACCTTAGATTTCCTCCTGCATAGCAAATCCATCTAAAACCGGAGAGGTTTTGGAGCCAGAAAAGCTGTTAAGAGAAACAAATAACTATTTTTTTCTACTGTATTTTTATTCCAAATAAACCCATATCCTCCAGAATAGTAACCTGATAGGCAAAAAGCCCCATCCCCCATGCTTTCCAAGATGACAAAGAAGAAAAAGGTAAATCAGAGCTTTCTGTGTCTTCAGGGGAAATTACCTCCCACTCACCAAGAAATTAGATCACGGCAAATAAACTGAACTTCAGGGAAATTTTCAAGCCTTCTTTGTCCTGTTTGTATTAAGAATATTGCCTTATCTTTGTATCAGTGTTTTTACATAGTATCATTTCATTCTAATCAAATATAACGCTCTGAAAAAGCCATTACCTATTCTCCATTTTATAAACTAAATCAAACTTTCATCTCTGCTCTGTAGCTATGTATTAAATACCTTCTGGGGGCCAGATACCTTTTGGCAGTCTGGGCTACAAAGAATCAGGCAAGGCTTCTGATGGTCAAAGTATCTGTGCCTCAAAGGAGCACTGACGGCATTTTAGAAACACGTCCCTCGCTGGAAGCAGGGGCAGGCGAAAGCTACAGCCTCTGCAGCAGCTAGCTAGCAACAGCTCATCTGGGAAACTTACCCTGTGGTGTCAACTGGGGGATCCTCAAAGATCACTTTGTCCATCTCAGCCATCCTGCTTCTCTTTACAGATCTGTTGTACTGAAACTGTCAGAGACATATGCTTTCTCCTTGGCGATAGATTTCCACCTGCCATCTTCCTCCATTCTTCATAGCTGTTTTATCGTCATAAAAGATACATAACCGAAAATTTACCATTTAACTATTTTTTTAAGTGTACAGTTCAGTGACATCAAGTATGTTCACATTGTTTTGTGACCATCATCAGTAACCATCTTCAGAATGTTTTTATCACTCTAAACTGAAACTCTATACCCATTAAACACTGACTCCCCATTCTCCCTCTTTTTGGCCCCTGGTAACCACCATTCTACTTTCTGTCTCTATGAATTTGACTATTCTAGGTATTTCATATACCTGGAATCACACAATATTAGTCCTTTTGGGCCTGACTTTTCTCACTGGGTATGTCCTCAAGGTTCATCTGTGCTATGGCAGGAGTCAGAATTTCCTTCATTTTTAAGGCTAATGTTCCATGGTATGTATAGACCACATTTTGCTTATCTATTCGCCTATCATTTTTTATAACTTTTAAAGATGATTTGCCCTTAGCTTCTCTTGATGTGACTAAAGTAATTGATCTTCCTGCCCTTGGCGGTAATAAATATGAGGAATTTGGTAGGTAATCAAGTAAAAACAAGTACACTGACTCCTACAGGCTTATGTCAGAATTTTCCAGTAGCAGTGAACAAGTAACATTTTGTGAGAACATCTACAAAAGAATTTTATTTGAATGGGTTATTAGAGAAAATATTTGGTTGATATAGATTAGTTGCTATTTTCCAAAAATCCCACCCAGGGCTACATTAAGCAGACTTGACAGATGATTGGCCACCTTCTCCTTCAGTGACCTTTTCTTCCCAACTTAGTGCCTAGGAGGGTTCTTAATGTCCAAAACAGTTCTAGAGGAGGAACCTAAAAACTCAAGGACTCAACACGAGTCATTGACTTATCTCCCATGGGGCTCTTGTATTTTTTAAGCCTTCCCAATTTTGTGGGGTGAAGAGCCTTGTCTTGGCTTGTGGGCGTTTGAAGCATCAACATAGATAGTCTGGGTTTAGGAAGGGTAGGAGGAGATGATTTCAGCCCCTGTTCTGCCTAAGACAGGCCCTATCACTGGATAATTCCCTAACTCCATTTCCCAGATTTCGAACATGCCTCCCTATATTATATTCCTCCTGAATCTTCATCCTTGTAACATCATGACCTCTAGTTCCTGGGTCCCTGAGTTTATTCTAATAATTCATTAACTTGCTCCTAGGTTCCCTACTCAACTACTTCAAATGTGTTTTTTTTTTTTCTTTTCAAGTTTTTATTTAAATTCTCAGTTGACATATAGTGGAATATTGATTTCAGGAATAGAATTTAGTGATTTGTTACTTACATATAACAGCCAGTGCTCATCATAACAAGTGCCCTTCTTAATACCCATCACCCATCTAGCCAAGCTCCCTCCACCCTCCTTCCACCAACCCTCAGTTCTCTATCGTTAAGAGTCTCTTATGGTTTGCTTCCTTCTCTCTTTTTTTCCCTTCCCATATGCTCATCTGTTTTGCTTCTTGAAGTCCACATATGAGTGAAATCATTTGGTATTTGTCTTTCTCTGACTGACTTATTTCGCTTAGCATAATACACTAGCTCCCTCCACATCATTGCAAATGGCAAGATTCCATTCTTTCTGATGGCTGAGTAATATTCCATTGTATATGTATGCCACATCAGTTGATGGACATTTGGGCTCTTTCCATAGTTTGGCTATTGTTGATAATGCTGCTATAAACATCGGGGTGCATGTACCCCTTTGAATCTGTATTGTTTTATCCTTTGGGTAAACAAATGTGTTTTTATCTTAGCTTACTTTCTTGATCTCTGCTCTACCTGCCCCGTCAACCCACAAACTTGGCTGAACTCAACTGTGCTTCTTTACTGCTGTTACCACAGAAGGTCAAGTGAACTAACCAATTAATGGAGTCTACCACAGAGCCATGTCATTTAGTTGTGTCTAGGCCTTCACTGCTGCTCAACAATCCTTTCACTTTTTCCCCCTCTTGGACCCCCCCTACTGAACTCCCAATAGCTATTGCAAATCTCCTCAACTGCTCTCATGTTCTGTATCCCACCAGTCCTGTATCACTTCCGGCAAAGAACCTTCAAGAGGTAGTTTGGTGTGGAGGTTAAGGTGAGAGAGCCCGAAGTCCTATGTCTTGGGTTTTTATCCCAGCTCTGCCACTTGGCCCTTGGACAGGTTACTTATCTCACTCTGCTTCAGTTTCCTCATCTATAGACATGCTGGTAATAGAACCTACCTATAGACTCTCTGAGAGGATTAGCCCAGTTAATATGTGTAAAGTGCTTAGACCTGGGCAGAGCACAGAGGAAGCCCTATGTGTGATATGTAGTACTGTTACTACTTTGTTTAGATGTTCATAGCCAGTGGACTTTCTTTTCTCTCTTCCCTAAAAGAGGAGGTGTATTATATCTACTTTTGAGGCCAACACTACTTGTGTTCTTGATCTCGTCTCTGCTCCCTGAACTCATTTGATTATTCATTCAATAATTAAATAATTATTGAGGGCCGAAGACATTACACATTGTTTGGACGTGAGAATACAGCATGAAAATAATAGGCAAGACCCTTACCTTTGTGGCACTTACATTCTAGTAGAGAGAGAGAGAGAAGCAAATTAGTAAAAGATATAGCAGATATAGCAGATCATCCCCAGGTGGAGGGAAGGGCTATAGAGAAAATCAAAGCTAGGTTGGGCACATAGGGAATGGGAAGGATGGAAGTGGGGTTACTACTTCAAATAGGATGTCAAGGAAGGCCTCACCAGGAGTTTTAGTGGAGACCTGAAGGGGCCAGGAAGTGAGCCATGTGAATGTCTAGGCAAAGAGAACTTAATGACTACAAGGCTGAGATAGAGCCAACTGGAAAAAGCAGGTTTGGAGGAAAAGACCAATTTTGTTTTTGTTCAGTTTTAGATACTAGTTGGAAACCAAGTAAGAATGTCAAATAAACAGGTGAATATAGTAATTCTGAAGTTCAGGGGAGAGGTCCAGCTGAAGATACAAATTTAGGGGTCATCAGTGTGGTATGTAAAGCCATGGATCTGTGTGAGGTGGCTGAAGGAGTACGCCCAGGAACAGAAGTCCACGTACTGAGAGGATACTCTAACATTCAGGGAGATTAGGGAGGAACCAGTAGACTAGGAAGTAGACAGTGAGGTAGGAGGAAAGCCAGAAGAGTGGTATTTACAAACCATCCCAAAGCAGAGTCGTATAAAGTAAGCACCATTTTATTATGCTCACAGATTCTGTGGTCAATATTGGGGCAAAATATGGCAGGCATGGGCCTGCCTGGGAGTTATGTTGGGAAAACTCAAATGATTGGGAGTGTGACTCAAAGGCCAGAGGGCTAAAATCATCTGAAGTCTTTGCTCACATATTTGATGGCTGGGCTGTGATAACTTGAAAGTGGGGCTGATCTAGGACATGTGGCCTCTCCTTGTGGCTTGGACTTTGTCATAGCCTGGTGGTCTCAGAGTAGTCAGATTTCTTTAAAGGGGGCTCAGGATTCCAAGAGCAAGTATTCCTAGTGAACAGGGTAAAATTTGCTGCATGGCCTTTTTTGTTTTGTATTTTTTTTCTTTTTAACAGCTTAATGGAGATAGTTTACATGCCTGCAGTTTCCCTATTCAAAGTGTGCCATTCAATAGTTTACTAGTATAGTGACTGGTTATAGTATAGAGTTTTAGTATAGTATAGAGTGATTAGTTTTAGTATAGTATAGAGTTTTCCAACCACCACTACAGTCGATTTCGGAACATTTTCATTACCCCCAAAAAGAAATCTTGTGCACATTGGCAGTCACCCCCAATCCCTGCCATCTTGTTCCAACTCTAGGCAACCACTGATCTCTATAGATTTGCCTATTCTGGACAGTTCATGGAATAGAATCACATGTAGGATCTCAAATGGAATTAGACAATATGTGATCTGTTGTGATTGGCCACAAAACATCACTTGACATAATGTTTTTAAGGTTTATCCATGTTATAGCATGAGTCAGCATTTTATTTTTTTATTGCCAAATAATATTCCATTACATAGATATACCACATTGTGCTTATCCATTTATCAGTTGATGGACATTTGGATTTTTCTACTTTTTTCCTATTATGAGTAATGCTGCTGTGAACATTGGTTACAAGTTTTTGGGTGGACATATGTTTTAATTCTTTTTGGATATGTAGCAACAAGTGGAAGTGCTGGGTCATATTATCCTATTTTGACCATTTTAAGGAACTTCCCAAATGTTTTTTGAAGTAGCTATACCATTTACATTCTTACCAGCAATGCAAAGAGGTTCCAATCTCTCCACATCCTCACCAACACTCATTATCTTTTTGATTATTGCCATTCTAGTGGGTAGAAGTGGTATAATTGTGGGGTTTTAAAAATAATTTAGACTTTTAAAATTGTGGTTAAAAAATATATAAAATTTATCATCCTAACCATTTTTAGAGGTACAGTTCAGTACTGTTAAGTATATTCACATTCTTGTGCAA